AAAAAAAAAAAAAGGTTTTTAAAATAAAAGAAAATTTTTTTGTTTTCCCCCCCCCTCCCCTCCTCCCCCTTATTAAAAATAATTTTACGTTACTGTTGGCAATGTTTTTGTATAAGATATAAAGATGCTCTATTTGCGATCAATGCATTTTTACCAAAGTCTAAAGCTTCTCTTGATGGATACGAATAAATTAATTGACCGTGACTCGGTGTGTTTTCACGTACTTGAATTCCAGAACCTTGAAATAATAATAATAATAATAATAATAATTTTTTCTTAAACTCAAAACGGAACTTGTCGCAAAAAAATTAAAAAAAAAAAAAAAAAAAATGATAATCTCACCGACAAGATTATTTTCAAGTCTGTGCCACTTTGATATTATTTCTTCACCAACTTTAACAGCGACATTTAAATCGTGATCAGTGAGTTTGATATTTTTTTTAACGATATTATTATTATTATCATCGTCTTTACGGACGATCGTTTCTACATCTAAAAAAAAAAAAAAAATAATAATTAAATAATTGGGTTGACGAACAAACAAAAACGTCACGCAAGCAAATTTAATAAAAAAAAAATTGTTTGTTGTTACTACCTCCTGATTTGACATAAACAAAAATGTTTATCGATAAGACCAGGATCCACCACCACCACCACGACGAAGAATGTAATTGACTCGTGACGTACAACATCTTGAACAAACAAACAAACGAACGAAACTAACGTACGAACGAACGAATTTATTATTATTATTTTAATAATAAATAAATAAAATTAAATAAAAGAATTGAAAATGACGACCATTTTATTTCAACGCATCCTCGACGAATATTAATGATAATAATACTATTATTAATAAATTTGATTTCATCTGTTGAGAGAGTTGTACAAACTTGTTTTAAAATAAATATTATTATTATTATTATTAATTTATTTGTATTTATGTAAGTTATTCATTCGGCAACTTGTTTCGTTGTTCATTAATAATCTGAAAATAAAACAAACAAACGAACAAACAAATTAAATAAATAAATAAATTTATTTATACATTTATTTTTTAAAATCCATTTTTATGCAAGTGCACGAATCGAATATAAAAAAAAAAATTTTTTCTTACGCGACAACAACAACAACAACAACTACAACCACAACAATATTGAGATGGTACAAGAAAAACAATCGAATCAAATTAAAAACGTCGGAAATTAAATTTTATTATAAAAGAAAAAAATGGCCGAACGTTAAAATTTTTTTTTTTTTTTGTAGTTTATGATATCAAATCGCATAACCTTTGACCTCTTTTCTCTCTCTCTCTCTAAATTAATAAGAACGAGATCAAACATGGTGGCGTGTAGAAATGAAAAAAAAAATTATTACGATAAAATTTTTTTTTTCTAAATAAAAATAAAAATTTATTAATTATAATAATTTCGACTCCAGGAAAACTTGTCGTTTTTTTCCGTTTCCGGTTTACACGTCACGTTTCCTTTTTCCTTTTTTTTTGCGCTAACAAATTCCACACATTTAAGAGAAAATGTTTGCTTATTTTACATCTCGATTCGTTTAGTCGTAATTTTTAAGATTAGTATTATTATTTTATCAAATTCGAAAGCAAACGTATTTAACGTTTGTTTGTGGTTGTTTGATTTAAATTCTACCCCATTTCAAAAATTGTTTAAACAATTCTGTTCACGTATAAAAATCGCCTTGAAAATATGTAAAAAAAATTTGATTTGAATCGACAAGGAAGTAATTGTTAATCGTTTGTCGTTCAACCTTAAACCTAAATTAACAACAAAAAAAATTTGCGTTTGTTCAGACTAAATTCGCGATCTAATTTATTAACTTTTTACCCTTTTCATTGATAATAATAATAATTTTTACGCATAATTTCCTTGTAACGAAAAAAAAAAAGAAATTTCCTAGTGTAATTTATATATGAAAAAAAATTGGGTAGACCGGAAATAAAATTTATATATGTAATTAACGATACCTGATTTTAAAAGAACATTATTATTATTATTAATAAACTCCCGAATTCGAAAAATTTTCCAATCGCGAACCTTTTAAACTGAAAATTTATTAAGTTGGCTTCAATACGCGAACTGGAAACGTGAACTAGTTTAGACAAAACACGAAGCCTAAATTTAAATAATTGTCTGCAAAAAAAGATAAAAGAAATGTTGTTGCCGGTTGTTGTTGTTGTTTGTTTACAAGCGTTAACTACAAACTAGTGGGTAGAATAAGATAAACGATACGACAAATTTTTTTTTTTTTATTATGTTTCACATTAACAAACGACCCATTTAAATAAAAAAACAACTTTGACTACAACCGCTTTAAATTTTAAAAAAAAATTAATTTATTAAATTATTTTGTGTTATCAATCTTACCTTTTTTTATCATCACAAAATTATTATTATTATTATTTTTTTAAAAAACGTAAACAAAAAAAAAAATTTTCTTTTTAAAAAGAAACGAAAACATAAAAAGCCGCCATGACCGACGTCCAAAAAAAAATAAAAATAAAAATGAATTTGCCGGTCCGTTAGGTCACTCACTAACTGAGCACGTGTCCCATCAACAACGACAACAACAACAACAACCACTTTTTCTTGTTTGTATTAAACCAATCGTTAACCATTCCATTCACTAAATATATATCGAGTCCTTAATACTGTGTATTGACCCCTAAGGTAAAATTTACGGTGAAATTTTTTTTAAAATTTAAATCCACGTTTTGCCGCCAAAAATTCAAAACAAAATTTTTGAAATACAAAAAAATAATAATAATAATAATCACGTGTGTGTACCGCACAAAGTTTTTAACGTTAATAATTATTTTATTTTATTTTTTTTTTTTAAAGACATAAAATTTTACGACATTGAAAAAATAAAAAAATTATTATTATTATTATTATTATTATTATTTTTAACAGGAAGTAGATCAAACGTTATTACAGGAAGCAAAGAAAATTTTTTTTATCCTTATAAATTTTTTTATTTTCCTTTCGGCTATAAAATTATTTTTAAAAAAAAAAAAAACGTTTATTAGAAAATTTATATTTAAAAAAATATCCGCCATTTTTGTTTTACGTTTTTATTAATGAATTAATTTTAGGGAGAGTGGGGGAGGGTGGGGGTGGGGGAAGACATTTTGTTAACTTTTTTCACAGTTTGGATAATCGCTGAAAACGGCACAATGAGAAAATATACCACTTCGAGGACGGGGATGTTGCGATTCGAAATTATTCGGAGTGGAAAAAAGTTCTGGAAAATCGAAAACTTCATCTGATACGTTTAATAATTTATTCAAACGACAATGACCCGTTTTAAATTGTTTCAAAACTTCTTCGTAAACGTAATCGGGCTGAAAATAAAAACAACCCCACTTAATTTTTCAATTCTGCTTAATCGATCAGTCAGTCAATCAATCAGTCATTCACTTACCAAAATCCTAAAAAGGGGTTTTAATTTTCCAGGTGGTGGAGATTTATTAAAAGGTTGACTCATGCTTCCATTTTGAACGTTAAGAAGTAAATAAAAACTGTATTCGTTTCTTGTTTTCAATTCTCCTATATTTTCATCCGGATCTTGAATTTTAGCCAACCATTCTACCGCCTTTTTTTTTTCTACAACGTTATCGATAACGTATAATAATAATAATAATAATAATAATAATAATAAGTTTGAGAAAAAAGGAAAATGCACGTACCTGAATGTGGGAGATACTGTAATAAAGCTTTTACTAAAAGAATGTTACATAAAAATTCTTTTGACTCATCCGACATTTTAAATTTTTCTTTACATAATAATAATAATAAAATTTAAATCGATAATTTTTAATGATAATAATGATAAAAACAAATAATTTCGATAATATTTTTGTTTGTCAGTTTTATTTTATAATAAAATTATTATTTTTTGTTTTTTGTTCGTTCGTTCGTTCGTTTGAAAATAAAAAGAATGTTGGAAAATTCTAAAGTTTTCATCATCATCATCATTATTATTGAGGTTTTTTTTTTTTTTTTTTTTTTTTAAACAATAGGATTTTTAGGTAGACGAAAGGTCACACAGAATTGTTTACCGTCATGTGTTTTTGTTTATTTCGTCATTTATTATCGCAAATTTGTTTTTAAAAAAAAAAAAAAAAAAAAAATTTTCTTCTCTTCCTGTCGTATTCTTCTCTCTCGTTGTGTTGCAGTCGAGAAATTTAAGTCGATAATAATAATAATAATAATCGGTTTTTTAAATATTAAAGTCGTAATAATAATAATAATAATTAACGTTATTTTTCGTCGGTGTATGAAAACGGAGGAGGTGGAAAAAAAAAATGAATAAGGGAAATAATTTTTTTAAAAAATCTAAAAGTTACACGGTAAGCGTCATTGAATTTTCTCCAGAGAATAAAAAAGAAAATAAATTATCAATAATTGATAAGAATGATGACCGTGGAGGAATTGATAACAACGGTTACGTCCATAACGATGATGATGATGATAACGTTAAATACGATTATGATAAAATATACGATTTCGAAGAAGCTATTTCTGCTACGCGTAGGTTTTTTACCACTTTAATTACAATCAATCATTCATTCATTCATTCATTCATTATTATTATTATTTGTTTTTGTAGAATTCGGTAGTTATAATTGGTTTTTATTAATTATAATATTATTGGGTCACGTATCGACTGTTTATTCTACGACAACAATGTCTTACGTACTACCATCGGCTGAATGCGATTTACATTTAACAAACGTCGATAAAGGAATGCTTAATTCTATGGAATTGATCGGTTGTTATTTGGTTGTTGTTGTTGTTTGTTAATTTCCCCTTTCGAAAATCATAACCGAAAATTATTTAATTGTAGGTATGACACTCAGCGGATTTATTTGGGGTATACTCTCGGATTCCGCCGGTAGAAAAAATATATTAATTATTATATTCGGTTCGGATACGATAATAACGATAATGACGGCAATGGCGCAAAATTTAAATTTACTCATCGCTTGTAAATTTTTATCCGGAATAATGTTAGTCTATTTATTTATTTATTTATTAATCCTTTATGTTTATTTAATAATAATTTATTTATTTATTTAGTAACGGTAGCGGAGTTGCAATAATGGCAACATTAGCAGCCGAATGTCATTCTTTATATTATAGAGCAAGCGTTACCATTGGATTGGGTTTTTTTTATTCTTTTGCTATTATTACGTTACCCAGTGGGTATAAAATTTCATTTCATTTTTTTTTTTACAAGGATTTTATATTTAAATATTATTAATTATTATTATTATTTTTTTAGTTTTGGCTTGGTTAATAATTCCAACATCGATACATTTATCGTTATTTAACGGTTATATAAATTTACCTAATTGGAGAATATTTATATTGGCGAGTTCGATACCGGGTATATTAAGTTTCATCGGTTTTTTTTTCACATACGAAAGTCCGAAATTTTTAATGTTTCAAAATAAAAATGATGAAGCTTTAGAAGTATTTAAAAAAATATATAATAAAAATACCGGAAAATCTTTTGAAACTTTTCCGGCAAGTATAATTATTTATAATTTTAAACTACGTCACTACCTCGTCGTTTAATTTTGTGTGAATTTTTTCCAGGTTAAAATTTTAAAAAATGAACGACCGGAAGGTTTTGATAAACCTAAAAATGATAAATTTTCATTTAACGAAATGGTTATTAATATTTGGAATCAAATAATACAAATATTTCGTCCGCCATATTTTTTAGCTATTCTTTTACCCTGCGTTATACAATTTTGCACTGCTGTCGGGTGAGAGATTTTTTTAAAAAAATTTATTTAATATTTTTGCATTGACACGATTCAATAATCGCGCGGGAATAACAATTTTAACGTTTTTTTTTTTTTTCATTTGAAAGAACTCAATCGAACGCATTAAAATTTTACTTAAATTAAATTATTATTTATTTCACGTCGAATACTTATTATATTATTCATAACCATGTTCGAAATATCAAAGAAATCGCGACAAGTAATTTTTTTTCATTTAATTTACGCCTTCAAAAAAATGTAACAATTATTTGTTTTACACTTACGTAATATGACAAGCATAAACAAATTTTTTTTTAGTTTGTTATTTTAATATATAAAAAAAAAAATAAAAAACGTTACGATTCCGTCAATTAAAAACAAATATAAAATTATTACGCGTATATATATCACATTAATAATAATAATAATAATAATAATCACATTTAATTTATTACAAACGATTAGTAAACAAAATTTAAATTAAAAATTGTTTAGCTAAGGTATTTAAAGGAGTATTTACCCTAGAACTACTTTTAATGACTTCATTTCTACATAAGAAGCATCAAATTATTAATAAGAATTTTTTACTCATTACTTATTTATTTATTTATTTATTTAAAAAAAAAAAACAAATAGAGTAAACACGATACGATTATGGTCTCCTCAATTATTTGCATCGGTTCTCGAATATGAAAAATTATTAGGGAATATCTCGAATCCATCGACTATTTGCGATATATTGACGACGACATCGATAATTAATACCCAAAATGTCGTGGCAGATTGTGACGAAATAATAATGGATGAAAATATTTACGTTAATTCAATGATAATTGGAGCCGTTACATGTTTAGGATACGTTATTTCCGGTTACGCCGTTAGAATAATCGAGAGAAAATGGCTTTTAGGTATAAAACAAATCCCAAAAAAAAAATTGCTAAGCTAGGCTCACCGTTAATAATAATAATAATAATGTTTACAGTTTTTGTTTACTTTGCCGGCGTTGTTACAAGTTTGATTTTGTATTGGTCCACAACATCAAAATTAATGGTTGGAGTCGTAGCCATTTTCATAGCAATACTATCAACGGGTGCAACAGCTGTGATAAGCGTTATCATTGATATTTTTCCAACATTTTTAAGGTGAGTGTATAAAATAATATCAAATATCACCTTTTTTTTTTACCTTAATTCAATTTTAATTCTAGAAATCAAAAAAAAAATAAAAGAAATGGCGCGATAAAAAAATCACAATGACCTTTTTATTATTGTAATCATGACGTGTCACTAACCTTAGACACGTTTTAAAAAAATGATTTTAATTACCATCCCTTTTTAAAAATGTTTAAACAAATGCCTAAAAATTTTTTTTTTTTTCCACCGTGTAAAATTTCTCATCCGATTAAGGTAATTTTATTTTTAAAAAATAAGATATACCGAAAAATAAAATTCCATAAATTAATTAATAATAATAATAATAATAATATTTATCAATGAATGTGTAAAAAAAAAAAAAAAAATTTAATACGAACCTTTTTTTTATTATTATTATTATTAAAAGATTAGTAATAAGTTCGTTAAACTTTCAACGTGTTAAACAAATGAAAAAAAAAAATGTTTTAATGCCGATTTAATAATAATAATAATAATAATAATAATAATTTTTTCCAGATCGACGGCAGTAAGTTTATGTATGACACTTGGAAGAACTGGAGGAATTTTTGGTAATTCAATATTTGCCGTTTTATTAGATTTTAATTGTTCTATATCGTTTATTGTTTTACCCACCGCAATATTAAGTAAGAATTAAAATAAATAAATAAATAAATAAATTTTCAATTAAATTTTATGTATGATATATGAAAAATTTTCTTTTTTTTCAGTTTCTGCAGGATTGACATTTCTTTTACCAAGGACAAAAGGAAAACATTTAGAATGAAAATTTTTTTTTTTTTTTGAATAAAGCAAAGTTGAAAAGTTCATTACAAAAAAAAAAAAACGAGGACGTTAATTTCAATTTTTTTTGTTAAAACAAACTGACAAAATAATATACAACCTGAACCTTGATTATTATTATTTTTGTCATTTGTTTTTAATTTTTAAGTAAATAAAAAAAAAAATGAAACCCAAAAATTTATAATAAAAAAATAAAATTTTTTCTCTTCTTCTTACTTAACCCCATCGTTTACCATTTTTTTTTTTTGCTGTCGCGTAATTATTATTATTATTATTATTAATAAAATTTATATATGTGTAACTAATAACGCGTATCGAAATAATCAATGAATCGAAACGGAAAATATTATTATTATTATTAACCTTGACCGTAATTTAAAAAAAAAAAAATTATAATTAAATTCAAGTGCATTAAAAAAAAAAATAATAATAATAATAAACCTGATATTTGAGAATGAAAATGTCTTCCTCGATTGTCGATCGATTATTTTAATATTTTTCAGGCATTCAAAAAAAAAAAAAATTTTTTCATTGTTTAAACAAATAAAATTAAACAAATTAAAATTGTTTATAAAAAAAAAATTTGTTTTTCTTTTTATTTTCGTCGAGAATTTCGAGACTCAATGTAAATATTAATTTTTTTTTTTTTCAAACATACATAATTAAGGGAAAAATTAAAATGACTTTGTTTAAATTATAATCGGAAAATTTTTTTTGATAATATTATCAAAAAAAAAAACTAAACAATAAAACAGTTTTCCTTTTTTTTCGGGAGTGAAATTTTTCTCTTTTTTTTTCTTTTTCTTATTAATTTATTTCCGATTTGTAAAATTTTACGTAACATTAAACAATACAACTTTTTTTCTACACCTTCTACTATTATTATTATTATTATTATTATTAAAAATTATTTTTCACTCGTTTTTTTTAAATATTATTTAAACAAAAAAAAAATGAAATGTTTACAAATTTTTTTTTTCAAAAACGTTTCAAATTCGAAACTTCGAAAAATAAATATTTACTTAAAATTTGATTAGAAAAAAAAAAAACCGATCGAAAACGCGTAAATAATAATAATAATAATAAATTTTCCTATTTGAAAAAAAAAAAACGTTCGAACGATCGCGAGCGACTATTATTATTATTATTAAACAAAACGAGTTTTTTCTAATACACGTTCGATTTATTTGTAACATACATTCAATGTCAATGAAAATAATAATAATAATAAATATATTTTGTTTATAAATAAATAAATAAATAAACAAACATAAAAAATTTTAAAAAGGAAGAAATTTAAAGATTCTCAGGTACGATTCAATCAGGCATTTGTTTTTTCGTCATGCAGGCGCGAATTATAATACCAACAATAACAACAACAACCACAACAATTATTAAATTGGAATCCATAAATATGAAAAAAAAAAAAAATTCTAAACTAGACTTTTCCTCCATTTTCTTAATCGAAATTTAAAAAAAAAAAAAAAAAAAAAATTTATTATTATTATTATTTAACCTCGTACGAATTATATTTAACGGTCGTTATTAACCTTACAAAGGGTTGAAGGTCAAAAAGGTAAGGAATAAAAGGATAAAATTGATTACACACAAACATGCCATGTTAAAATTGTTAACAGATTGTAAAATTCTATTAATAATAATAATAATAATAATAATAATAATAATAATAATAATAATAATAATAATAATAATAATAATAATAAATAAAAATATCGATTTTAAATAACTTATCCCAATGGTTTTTAATAATGTCCGACAATAAATAGAAATCGATTTATGCCGTCACGACATCGGTCATATCATAATAATAATAATAATAATAATATATATATATAATATATGATGATGATGATGGGAAATTGAAAAAAAAAAAAAAAAGAAAAAGAAAAATTTCCTAACGAAACAACAACAACAACGACGAAAAAACGTTTATTTAAATTCATTTAATTCGCGGTTAATATAATTTTTATTTACCTTTATGACGACGACGACGATGACGTCATTTTTTTCGAGAGTCATTTTCGTTGAAACAATGTATATGAATAAACGCACATGCTATCAGTTTCTTAATGTCGTCGTCGGTTATGTTTGACACATTATGATTTACGAAAAATATTTAAAAACATTGTTTGTCGTGTGTTTTCCTCTAGTTATTCTTATTTGATCGTTAAGTTAATAAGTTAATATTTTAAATAATTTTTTTACGTAAAAATAAATTATTATTAATAATAATAATAATAATAATAATAATATTATAGTTAATTTTATTAAAACAAATGCGGCGAAAAAATAATACGAATGTTTTCATATAGTGTTTTAAACAAAAATAAAAAAAAATTGTCGTTTGTTGTTTGTTCGTTATTGTTAATAAATAAAATTTTTATGTATTTATTTAATTTAATTTTTTTCACGTGATTAAAAAATTAATTAATAATAATAATGAATCCGTTAGGAGATGTTAAAATCATGTTTGAAAATGGTAAGTGAAATAATTTTTAAAAAAGTTTTTCGTTGGAAAATTTGTTTCGAAAAGTTCAAAGGTTAAAAATTTTAATTTTATTTTATTTAAAATTCGAACCTGAAAGTTTATTTAATAAATTCGATGATAATAATAAGAACCTCTGTTGTTTGTTTGTTTGATTTTAATCAAATATTTAATAAAAATTAATTTTTCATTGTCAAGGGCATTTATACCTGTATTACCTTTCCAAAAAAAAAAATTTTTTTTTTTTTTTTTTTTCTGTAAATATTATTTTACCACCTTACTCAAAAAATTATTTTATTGAGGGGGAGGGTGGGGGGGGCAAACCTAAACCTTATTACGACTTCAAAACAATTTTTTTTGTCTGAAATTAAATCTAAAAAATTTTCCTTTTCCCTTTGGTTTTCGATTTAATAATGATACCCAATGTGTAAATTTTCATTTTTTTTAAATTACGCACAAAAGAATTTCTTTTAAAAAATCATTATTATTATCATCATTATTATTATCATTATTCCGCGAAAGAAAATTAATTTTTTTTATGATAGTACAACACAATTTATCATTAACGTTAGAAAGTGTTTTAAAAAATTTGGCATAACAAATATTAATTATTGAATTGTTATTAATTTACCACACGTAGTAATAAAAATTTATGTATTTCTGGCATGTTAATTTCTGGCATATATGCCATACGACCCGTACAAATAATAATAATAATAATAATGTATAAGGGTAATATAAGGTAATAATATTATTATTATCTAAAGGTTTTTTCTTTTTTTTATCATTCAAATGTTTGCAATACTAAGAATTATTATTATTATATATTAGAATAATATTTGTGTTATACGAATAGGTCACATATATACGGGTGTAACAATCTTTAAACAAACGACAAACTCTCTTCTTCTCAAACAAACAACAAGGACGTTTAAATTTCAACAACAACAACAACAACAAAAAAATTGTTTTCGATACAAATTTTGATTAATTTACCGAAATGAATTTACAAAAAAAAAAAAAAAAAAAACAATACGTTTTGGTAAAAACAAACTAAAACTTAAAAAATTGTTTGTTGTTGTCGTTGTTGAAAGATAGATTGAAGATAATTTAATGATTTTTTTTTTTTACACCAACAAACACCCAAATATAAACATTTGAATTAAATTTAATAATAAAAAAAAAAAAACAAAAGAGTAATTTTTATAATAACGTCCTCCTCATACACACACACGCGCACACAAACACCTTGGAAAATTTTTTGTCTTTAATTATGTTTTTGTTAATGAATTTTAGGTAATTCTGGAAAACAAACGGTTGATAATAATAATAGTACAACGGTTGATTTTGAAAAAGCTGTCGCCATTACGGGTATATTAATTATAATTTTTCTAATTCTGGATTCTCTTCGAAAATAATAATAATAATAATAATAATAATAATAATGTTTTTGTTTGTTTTTCCCTATAGGATTTGGAAAATTTCAATATTTTATTATTTTATTATGCGGGTCTATATATTGTTGCGTCGGATTTCAAAATGGCCTTAACGCATATGTTATGCCATCAGCAGAATGCGATCTTAAAATGACATCAAACGAAAAAGGTTTATTGAATGCCGTTTTTTTAGCCGGTAATAATAATAATCATTTTTTCTAATTTAAATTTGAACTTGGCCTCCTCCTACCTTGGTCGATTAGACCGACCATCTTTTTTTTTTTAGTTTGTGTCATATTATTATTATTATTATTATTATAACAACGTTTATATTTAATGTTTTTTGTAATCATTACTAAACCATCAATATTTAATTCTAATTAAGGTCACAAAATGGATTTTTTTGTTTTAGGTGGTCTTGCAAGTGCTTTTTTTTGGGGTATACTTGCCGATTTGGTTGGTAGGAAAAAAATTTTAGTTTTTTGTCTCATATCAGATGCAATTGTTACAATATTATCAAGTTTTTCGCAAAATTTTTTATTATTTTCTATTTTTAGATTTTTAAACGGTTTTTTGTAAGTAGTTGCTTTTTTTTTTTTATTTCTCACTATATAAGTTTTTGTTTTTTTTATGAATTTTATTTACCGTGATGGTAAAAATTTGTTTCCCTCCCTCCCCCCCACTAGTCAAAACAACAAACATTTTTGTCGTTCAAGTGCAAAAATTTTTTTTTTTATTTTAGAATTGGAGCTCCAGGAAGTATAGTTGTGGCTTATTTAGGTGAATTTTTAGCTAATAAACACAGGCCCCCCAGTTTATGTGCCATGGGTTTTTTTTGGACGGTATCATGGATGATACTTCCGGCGGCAGCTTTAGGTATAATGCCGATAACATGGTCGTATAGAACGGAAGGTTTCATTTATAACTCGTGGAGAATTTACGTAGCCATTTTTTCCATTCCCACTCTAATTTGCGGTATTATTTTGGCAATTTTTTTTCCCGAAAGTCCTAAATTTTTATTCAGTCAAGGTAAAGAAGCGGAAACGATTAACGTACTAACGCATATGTATAAAATGACGTACGGTGATAAATACGGAAATTATCCTGTGAGTTAATGTCATGTTTACCTTATGTAATTTTTGGCGACAAGAAAAGAAAAAAAAAAATTCGCGATTCGATTGTTTCAGGTGAAAAGCATAATGGCAGAAGAAACGGAAACACCGACTCAACCAATGTTTAAAGATTCCGACATTAATATTCGTCCGACAAAAGAATCAAATGTTTTATTATATCAAGTATTAAAACAAGTATGGTCTCAAATAGTATACCTGTTTAGTCATCCGGTTATTTATTCTACTGCACTTGCATCCTCGCTGTTGTTTTCCAATATGTTCGGGTACGACGACATGAATTTTCTTCTGTTTTCAACTCTTGATCGATGCCCCTAAAAAAAAAAAAAAAAAAAAAAAAAAAAAAAAAAAATTAACTACACTCACAATAATTATTTCAGGTACTACGGATTAGGACTTTGGTTACCAAAATTATTTAACAGGTTTGAAGATTATTATAAGACATCAAACGTTTCCGCGACGGTTTGTGAAATAACACATATGAAAATGGAAACTTCTCCAAATATTCCATTAAATTCATTCAAATCAGACAATAATAATAATAATAATAATAATACGTTAAATTATTCTTTGCCATTAAATTTAGACGATGAATGTTCGACTTATGAAATAAGTTCATCCGTTTTTATAAATACATTTATTATAGGAGCTTCTTGTTTGATTGGCAACATTCTTTCCGCCATATTAGCTAAAAGAGTAGGACTTAAAATATTAACAAGTTCGTAAAAAAAAAAAAATTAAAGTTATTTAATTTAATTTA